AGGATTGCGTCACGGCAGTCAGCCTCTGTGTGCATGGCCAGCTCACGGCTTCACGAGGACCCGGGGCTGGGGTGCAGGCCGTGGGCTCTAGGAAGGGATGCTGAACTGGAAAATAGGAAACTTGCAGACTTGGTAATGACCCTGGTTAGGGCCTTGGCCCTGCTTTTCCTCCTAACCCAATGGGAATTCATGAGAGCAACTGGAGGGAATCGATGTGACAGGGCTTGGAGATCTGGGGACTAAAAGTACCATGTATACGTAGGAGGTAATAGAGTTTCAAGTGAGTGTCCATCCCTTTGGGCAAAATGATGCCTGGAAAGAGACGTGAAGGGGCAGGTGGTAGACGTTACACCCCGCGCCCAGAGCATCCGCGTCAGCATCACCTCGGAACTTGTTAGAAATGCCATGTCTTAGGCCCCCTCCCAGACCAAATGAATGAGAGCTTCAGAGGGTGGAGCCCAACTTTGTGTTTTAACTAGCCTTCCAGGTGATTCTGACAGTAAAATCTGAGAACCACTGGCCCAGACTCTCCCTCTGATTCTGGAACTTAGGGTTTAGGTATTTCTGTTTTGACAGATGGCTACAAGGTGACTTTTGGCCTTTCTTCTTGGTTGAAGCCAGCTGCCCTGCTGGGGAGAAAGGAAACACCGTATCCCCAGAGTTTGTAAGAAAAAGGGAAAAAAGCCTGCGTTCTTGGTTATTTTTGAAGGTGCCGGGAGAACTCGCCCCGGAGAGCTCGTTAAGAAGGACGCAGGCCTGCAAGAGTCCACTCTCCCCTCCCACAAAGGTACTGATGTGTTTGCCTCACCTCCTGCCCCGGGGCCTGCTGCTCTTCGAGTCAGTCCTTAAAAGGAGCAGTGGGTGCCACATTTGTTCTTTCTGGTGCCAGGTCTGTGCTGTTTCACTTCGCCGGCGTCAAGTGGATGCTTAATGAGAGGCTGTGACGCAGGCCGGCAGACTTGAGAGAAAGCAGCCTCAGTCTGTGCTTTCTGCAGCTAATCTCCCTGCCTTCCCAGCCTCGGGTTCTCGCCTCGGTGAGGTTGTGGTCACCCAGGGGCAGCCCTCACTCAGAAAGAGCTGCTTGCTGGGGTCTGTGCATACTGATAAGTGACTGGAGAGGCAGAGTGAAGTGGTATCTTTAGTTTCTCCTATTCCCTTGACCCCCCCCTTCCTGACCTAGTCCCCAGAATAAAAAGAGATAGATAGCCACATGGGGATTGTAGCCATTTCCTTTATGGGTTTTTTTTTTTCGGGGGGGGCATGGGGGGTGGCTAGTACCATCTTTTCCTGTTTTTTCCTTTTTTTTTTAAGATTTTATTTTTTTATTTGAGAACGAGAAAGAGAGAGAGTGAGAGAGAGCAAGCATGAGCAGGGGGAGGGGCAGAGAGAGAGGGAGAAGCAGACTCCCCACTGAGCAGGGAGCCCGATGTGGGGCTCAATCCCAGGACCCTGAGATCATGACCTGAGCCAAAGGCAGATGCTAAACTGACTGAGCCACCCAGGCACCCCCATCTTTTCCTGTTACTCCTGTCCCTGAGGCCAGGGTTGGGGCTGGAGTTGACTGGTGGTCAAACTCTCCAAACTTGCGCCTAGTTAGATAGCTAGGGATTCTCCAGTTACCTGTCCCTTGACCATAGGAAAATACAGTCATCCTGCTCATTTGGGCGAATAAACCCTAACTCTGGGAGGCATAGAGCAAACCCCACAAGGGAGGTTTGATTCTGGGGAAAATAATAAGCAAAGACTGTGGTGGAGTCCATGAGATTACCACTGGTGTTAACGGAATAAACGAGGAAACGCTGAGTTAGGTAAGTTGGTGTGTGGACTTAAGGGAAATGCTGAGGGCAAAGAATACCCCAGTAAGAGCAGGGTCACTTTGTGAGGCCCTTAACTCCAGTCAACTCCCCCAGGTGAATAAAGGAAGCTCGGGCGCCTGGGTGGCTCAGTTGGTTAAGCGACTGCCTTCGGCTCGGGTCATGATCCTGGAGTCCCAGGATCGAGTCCCGCATCGGGCTCCCTGCTC